AAAAAAAAACTTATCTAATTAATGAAGAAACTCTTCTTTATATATTCTTTTCAATAATAGATTGCCTTCAGAACAAGGTAACATCGGCGATCACGAAGTTAGTCCCACTGAAAATAATCTACAAGAAAAGTCGCGACAAAGAAAAAAAAGCTAAGAGGTGCGAAAAGGAACATGCAATATAACGATATGTGTTCTCAAAATTCTGATTCTACAGCTCACCAATCAAGGCCATTTCAACATAACGAAACGAACATCGTTTTCCACAGCGCGAGTCGACATCGGAATGTAAGAGAAGAGTCCTATATCGTTATCTTATATCATTGCGTGTCTTATATCGCTATATCGTTTTGCGCTCGTTGTCTTGACTCGACGGCTTAAATCAGATTTCTGATGCATCGCTTTGAATGAAAGTCGCTGTATCGTCTTGCCGATATATGTGTTAAATCGATATGTTTCGATACATCGATTTATAGCCCAGTCCTATTTGGTATCTATAAATACAATATTGCACATTTTGGACAATTTCTGATTGTAAGTATTTTTATTAAAAAAGTTGATTGAAAATTAAGAATGAAATGTTATATAACCTAAAGGTGGAAAGCATGTGTGATTATGCTAAAAAATGCTTAATTTTCTGAGAAATCATATTGATCCCATAATGAATAAAAACATATAAATGCTATAGCTCGGTGATTATACACTGAAGTGTCATAGTGAAGAACCGGGGTTTGATACCCAGTGGTGGCTAGAAGCCCTCCCAGTTTTAAATCCATGTGTTCTTGCTTGTCTAGGAAGTAAAGTTGGCCTGTGTGTATTACGGATCACATTTTCACAATCATGCAATTGCTCACAAAACAGTGGAGATTAACTTCAATGAGCTTGTTTCATAACAGACTGTTGCTGGAATGCTATATTTTTACTATTCACTTGTTAAACAAAACACATCAATAAAAATGTATACCAAAAAAAAAAATCGATGTTACAATTTCATTGAAATGGCTTACTAGGAAGGATGTTGTCTATGAGTCGCTAAATAGTTTCACCTACGAAGAATTTTAGGACATACAGCTGTTCCCACTTAATCGCATATTGGATAATAGAATAACCCGCTTATACAAATACAATTTAATGAAACCAAATCATTTTATGTGAATCTAATGTTAAATTCCCCGTTTAAACAGATATTTGTTTTTTTTTCATCCCCTCCTAATTGCATAAAATAGAGGTACTGAAAAGAAAGAAAATTTTTTTATTTTTGAGAAATGTTTCACCATCTAAAATGGAATTTCCGTTTTTCAGTTAGGATAAGGAAAGGTGATCATTTCAATAACACTTCCTGTTCATTAGTTGATCTAAAGAGGCGTTAGAGGGTAAAGTTGAAAAATTAATCAAATCTTGCAGCTTGTTATACATTGAATCATTTAGAATGTAAAAGAAAAAAGAGGTACAAAATGTTTTGTGGTCAAGACTTGTGGTCCCCTCCAGGTGCGCTATGAGCTTTGAAAAAAAAAAGTTTGAAAATCTTAACACATTAGAGTATGTACAATATGTCTTTCTCTTAAGTGGAATAATCATTGCTTAATTCAGTGAATAATGGTTTCAAGTAATGTATGAAAAGGAATTAAAAGAAATAAGCAAAGAATTTTGGATACAAAGAATCTCTAACTACTGTAAAATAGTGCTTTAATTTGGAATTTCCCAAGTTTTGAGAATTAGAAAAAATTAATAAGTAAAAGCAAAAAACAGAAATTCTGAATATATTTGAAACGAATACGCAAGTCATGAAAGTTATAGTAGATTTTGAAAGAGAAAATCTAATTTTGATAAATTGACGAATTAAACAGGTATAAAAACAGTCTTCAATTATGGATTTTTTAAGAAGGGATCAAATAATATTATAGTACCTATATTTTACTTTTCACTAACATTGATTTCTTTTTATGTAACTTTAAATGACATTTATATTTCATGGTACTTCATAAGTTATCTATGGTACTATATAAGGTAGTAGTTTTAATTATAATTGTTTATTCATCATAAAATTGAGTTTATTTAATCAAAACGCTATACTATGCATTAAATACCATTAAAAAGTAAAATTTTGCAAAAATATAGAATTTAAGATTGAATATTGTACTCCCCTTTTAATCGAATAACCCGACTTAATTGCATAGATTTGACTGGAACCGATGGCTGTATTTACATTCTTTCTGAAAAGAAGAAAAAAATCGAAAGTATATTCAATTATTTTTTAATTATTCAGTTAAACATAAAGTATTTTCTGGATAATAGGTTTTTAAGGTAAATAAATTCAAAAAGTGTTATTCAATGAAAAATTGATGCACACACAAATGTGATAGTACGCAGTATTTCAACAATATCTGTAAATTATTTTTCAACCAGAAATCATTTAAATATATGTTTTTTGTTTAGTTAATATTTTTACTATATTTAGGTAGGTAAATTCAAAACTTGCCATTCAATAAAAAATTGATGCTCACACATATCTGATAGTACACAGTATTTCAACAATATCTGTAAATTATTTTTCAACCAGAAATCATTTAAATCATTTCATTTAGTTTATATTTTTTTATAGAATGTGTTTTTTTATTCTTAATTTGGGTTATTTTGTCATTTACTTATGGCTTGACCATTTGTTCATAATGGTCGTGGACACATTTTATTCAGCTGTCATTTTTAAAATAAATAAATAAATTAAGGAAAATCTCCCTTTAGCTATTACTTATAAAAATAATTTTTTGACAAATTACTTTTAAATGCTGTAAAACAAATCATACTGCTTCTTTAAATTTGTCAATTATCAACAAAAATGCTTGAAATTTAATTACGTATCTAAGTAAATTCAAATAATTAATTTGCTACTGTACTGTAAATGGTACCTTGTGCAAGCTAAGAAAGAACAAAAATGCTTTCCTAATTCTAACAAATCATTATAAAAGTTAGCAAAAGCAAATTAGGGATTAAAATCTCTGATGACTAGGATATTTTTTCAGAGATTCAAAAGTTCCTTCACTTTGTATTAGGAACCATCTTTAATTAAAGTCACCAAGTAAACTGGGTTAATTATTTGCTACCCCTTCCATTTTCAATGGTGATGAGGCAGTGTTTAAAAAGAAAAGGTTCTGGTATGAAACTAGACTTGCAGCGAGAGAGAAATAA